GGCTGCCCAGGGAGGTGGTGGAGTCACCAACCCTGGAGGTGTTTAAAAAAAAGTAGATCTAGCACTTGAGGCTATGGTGTAGTGGTTGGGTATGCTGGGATGAAGGTTGGACTAGATGATCTTCAGAAGTCCCTTCCAACCCCGAACATTCTGTGATTCTGATTCTGTGATTCTGTAATTTTTGGCTCCTTCACTTTTGAGTGCAAACCCCTACAATTTAAATTCTAAACTTGCAGAGCTCCTATGCCTTTTTTTTTCCCCTCCAGCAAAAAGCTGTTGAGAAGGTAATGGTGTGAATTCCAGTAACAGAATCAAACTAGACCTATTTTAAATGGGTTGCAACCTTCATCTAGACCCACATCTATTTTATTAATAACCCATAACCTAGTGCCCATTACAGCCAGTGTTTTTCCACAAGAACTGCAGGAACAAAATTATGAGAAGACAGCTGCTTTCTTGACTAGTGTGGTTAGAGAACAAAGCAAACCCTCAAGATGTCGCATCAACAAATTGAGAAGTAGCTGATCCAGAAAACAGAGGTTAGCTGTTGCTTCTAGTAAGTCAGAGGGCATTGCTCTGCTAAGGCTATTACTGTCTGTCAAAACTGTGGCAAAGTTTGGGCATACTGTGTAATTAAAAGGAAATATATACTTACACATAAGGAATTTAACAGATGACCAATCCTTCTAGGGCTGGGGAATTAAGGGAACCTGTCCTCATTGTGGACATTAAACATGAACTTACAATTGGTCTTGAAGTAAGCATTTATCAGCTGTGCTTGAAGCTCATTCAACCTTCATAGCCATTCTTTTCCTGCCAACAGCTTCCAGCAAGCCATCATTTCACTTCCCGACCCAGGAGTTGCACCTGAGCCTTTGCATGCAACAGCCCTGTTGTCCATGAAACCATCAGTTCCCTTTCTTCAACCTGTTCCTCCTGTGATTGTCTACATCTCACTACAAACGCACTCCACAACACAAGAAGTGCATTAGCATTTTTAAGTCACTTACCAACAGTTCTGCTTCACAGCCCCTTTAGTTTGCATCTCTAAGCCTAGAAATCTCTTTTTAAACCATTTATCATAGATGCAGAATGAACTTGTAGTTCTGTGCTCTTTTGTCCTTTGGGCAAGAGCAGCTCCTCAAACATCTGTTCCATCTTCCCTGCCACCTAAGTCACTCCTTCAAGACTTCTGAAACGTGGTAGGTAATACAGCAGATTGTCTAACCAAGTGTCTCATGGCAAGAAGGATGTTTTGCTCTCTGCAGAACCAGACTTGGTTATTTCACAGATTAGTTCTCCTCAGTGTATCTTGCACAGTTCAAGAGAACACGGCACACATTATTAAAGTTATTCAGATGTTTATTCAGCATGGTTAATAGGTTGGCAAATTAGCGCTTTCCACCAACACGGGGAGCAGAAACCTTGACTGGTTTCACGATCTTCTGCTTGGGTGCTGCCTTTGTAGGAGCCTGCAGAGAAATAATAAAGTATAAGAGAAGAGAAGCAAGTCATCTGCAGTCCTGAAAGCATCCATATGTATATTGGGCAATTTAGATTAGATTAAAATTAGATTAGAATTACAATCTATCAGATCAGAATTGCATTAACAGATAGTTACACACGTACCACTGTCTATAACATGATGCCAGTGTTACTAATTCGTAAGTAATAATGCAAGAGATGTTAGAATTCATCAATGCATTGCTACCAAATTCCTAGACAGTGGAGATGTCACATCCAGACAAGATTTTAGCTATAAAGAATCTCTGACACCTGGTCAGAAAGCTGCTTTACTGTAATAGTTACTTCTTCTGTAAAAAAGGGTTCATATTCCATTCAGCTGTTTGAATATGTTTAACTTTTGTATTGAAGTCTGTTCAAGCTGCTCCCACACCAAAAAATGTAAGCAAATGATTCTGTGAAACACAAATGGCAATTTCCAATCAAGCGCTGCAAAAGAATGTTATGTTACAACATGGTATATTCCATTTCATGATCTCTGTTCACCTACTGCATCTTACCTTTGCAGCAGAAACAGCTGTTTTCTTGGTTGCCTGCTTTGCCTTCTTGGCTTCTTTTGCAGCCCTATTAATTCACAGGAAAAAAACCCCAAGTTATCGGTGTCTGCCATTCTCTGCTTCTTTATTTCAGCACTGTAAAAACTCCACAAGGTCAAGAAAGGAATGGATTATTTCAGGTTTATCCTCTGCATTCAGTACCCTCTAGAGAGACTACTACAGAGACAGGAAAACTGGTGTGACAAAAGCAGTATTTACACAAAGGTTGAGGGCAAGAAGAGACCCTCCTCTGCTGGTAGTATCTCTTGCTAAGATTTTGAGTATTAGCTCCCAATATACCAAATGAAAAAAAAACAAAACACAACCAAAAAAAAAAAAACAACACAGGAAAGCTTATAAGGCATGAAGCTCATCTAGAGTTTAAGGTCTTTTATGAAGAGCATTAATGATCTTTGAAAAGCCTGGGATAACTCCGCTTATCTCTGATTTCTCACCTAATAGCTTGTTCTCTCTGTGCCTTTCGTACTTCAGGCTTCTGATTCCGTTTAGCCATAATCTCAGCTAAAGACGCACCAGTGATAGCTCTCTGAAACTTAACAGCACGACGTGTGCGCTTCTTTTGTATCTCTTCCTAAAATGGCAGGAGATGAAAACAATTAGTATCACAAGACATTAAATAAAAGGCTAAAGACAATTATAGAAAAAAACTGCTATTAATATTGAAGCTATTATAAAACTGTATACACAAGAATTTTGCTCCTCACTTTGGACATAACTGATTTCCTGATCTGCCAAAGCAGATGAATAGCTAAAAAAGAGCAATGTGTTTTCCTTTGCAAGGTGTATAAAAGAAATACAAATCTTTTGGAGGAATGTCAGAAGTTCAGCATTCTGTAACTCACAGGAAAAAAAAGGGAGGAGGGACAAAGTCCATTCTGATGGAATCTTCTGAAAGGAAGACACTTCCCACCCTTTTCAAGCGGGATCACTGTTTACAAAGGCATGTAGCAATAGGACAAGGGACTATGGTTTTAAATTAGAACAGGGTAGATTTAGATTAGACGTGAGGAAGAAGATCTACACTATGAAGGTGGTGAGGCACCAGAACAGGTTTTCCAGGGAAGTTGTGGATGCTCCATCCCTAGAAGTGTTCCAGGCCAGGTTGGATGAGGCTGTGAGCAACCTGGTCTAGTGGGAGGTGTCCCTGTCCATGGCAGGGGGGGTTGGAACGAGATGATCTTTAAGATCCCTTCCAACCCAAACCATTCTATGATTCTGTGATCATGGTGCTGGAGAGCAGTGTAAGCCACTGTGTATCAACTTTCTTTCTCCAAACTGGTAAAAACATTAACTTACAACATGTATGTAAACTTTTCTAAATGCTCTTTTGCTCTCCAAGTTTTAACAAGAGCACTAAACATGCCTCATGCTACATGCCTTATTATCTTTGACAATGACAATACACAGGAAAGGCCTCCTACAAAGCTACAACCCAAAGTTTCCAAGAAGAGTACGTGAACAGTTCCCTCACCCTTTAACCTCCAAATCAGCTCTCTATGCTGTCACCACTCAGAAACCTTACAAGTCTGAACTTCTAGGAAGTCTGCATATTAAACAGCATTACCCACCTTCTCTAAAACTTACTTTTTAAAACATATGCCATTCATACAACGATCAAAATCTACTGAACACACTGTGCTTCTGAGTGGACCCTCAAAGAAATGATACAATACCAATACAATGCTTTTGCTGAAGTGGTTACCTTTCAGACATAAAGCAGCAGATAAACTCATGCACATGCACTCACGTTTTCACCATTATTGGCCAGTCTTCATCCTGGTTATATGGGTCACACTTCCACTACACACCAGCATATTAATGTTATCTCTACTCTAAGAGACCAGAGACCATTATCTTTTGGCAGAAAACTCCAGAGCACCGTTGGAGGGTATATACTTACTGACTGCCCTTTCTTGTGTTTACGCCTGTACAGGACAGTCCAGTTGATTTGACGGGGGTTTCTCTTGGAAAGGAATGCAGACTCACATTTTGCATTCAAGAACTGAAAAACCTGGGTAGATAAAATCATTTAGTGTAAGCTTTGTTTCTATGAAAGACACTATCACAGTTTATGTTAAAATATAAAATAATTCTTTGATTCAGTGTTTTTTTCAACAGTAATGTTTTTTTTATTTCTTTACACAGCCCTGATAAAAATTTCAGACGATAATTTAAAACATTTCCAGTTTGGCATTTTGTTCTGTTGATGGAAGGGATCTTTTACAGGACATTCTGAGACAGCTTCACTTGTCTAACGAAAGCTCAAATCACCACTTGCATCCACTGCTGCACTGTATTCCAGGCACAGCATGGACAGCCATAGCCAGCATCATGTTTTCCAAGTGTCTGTCCTCAAGCAACTATGCATTTCCTGTGTGTCTGAGTCCAGACTTGGCCCAAGGAACACACAAGACATCAATACTCTGCTCAATTCCTTCTTGCATAGTTACACTAACCTTCTTGCCTGGAATAACAAGCAGAATTAACAAATTAATTTGTTATTAGCTCTACAATTCAACTCTGATGTATAAACTAATTCCTAGGAGGGCACTGGATGATTCAGTCCATTTCCTTACTTGTCATTTCCCGGGAGATTCTGTACAGCAAAACAATTGTGCTAGGATATTCAAAACCCAAACCTTCCTACTGTAGAAATGAAGAGTACATTTCTGACAGCTCTACCTGTATGAGGTATGACAGCCTGAAAGGGCTCTCCTCCCTTTTTCACCCCAATGATCCATACCCAAGTTACTTGCAAGTCGAGTTTTTTCCTTCAGCGAATCTCACCATTAGACACATTGTGTCTAAATAACATTTTCTACAGAACTTTGGTGCTTTATATCTGATGCCCCAAGACACCCTTCCCAAACCACAGCTGAAAAACTGTACTCACAGTCCAAAGCTACAGCACAAGCACGGCCCTCCCGCAGACCAGGTGTCGTGTGACACCTGGTCACCAGGTGTCGGTCACCAGGTGCGAGGGCAGTCCCGACACCTGGACACCAGGGGAAGCACAGCGATGCCGTTCTCCCACCCCTCGACACACGCGACCCAGGCAGTCGCCATAGCAACGCCACCAGAGGCCGTTTTCCCCACCGCGCGTCAACTCGGAGGCCTTCGCTTCCCCTACCCTCCTTCCGCAGGGCCTAC